ATGGCAAGGGGCTCCTCCTCCTCCTCCTCCTCGGGAGGGCTCTTTGCTTCCAGCCCCAGAGGCGAGGATGGGGGGGAGCAGGATGATCCCATTCTGGAGCAGCTCTGCTGGCTCCAACAAGAGATGGGGAAAGACCTGCCAGGGGTGGCGGCAGCTCCTGCAGCCTTAATTCCTGCCACCCGCGTCACTCCGTGCCACCATGGACAGCCCTGTCCCCTGCGAGCCTCTCCCACCCCCAAAGCACCATGCACGGGCTCCAGCTTCCCCGCAGACCACGGGGTCTCGGTCCTGCCTGGGTGTAGGGAGTGCTCAGGCCCCACAGCACCTTCCCCCTACGGCCACCTACGAGTCTCCGAAGAAAAACTTCTGGGAACCAAGGCGCTGGGACAGGAGCGTCAGGCATTCCCGAGCTTCCCGGTAGAGCTGGAGGAGGAAGAGAGAGGGCTGTCACCCACCCAGCCACGCAGCAGACTGCCACGGTGCTAAGGGGAGTGGGAAGGGGTGCTCAGCCAGGGTGAACCCCGGACCCCAATTAAGATTTTGGCCTCATGTGGGTCCCTCTGGGCACCTGGCGAGGACCTGCCGTGCCCAGACCACATCCCCTCACCTCCTTCTCCAGCTTCTCCTCGTCCTCCATGTAGCCATCTCCCCACATGAGCTGCAGCCGCTCCAGGTGCTGCTTGTGCATGCAGTTGGGCAGGAAGAAGTTCAAGGGGAAGGGAATGGTTTCCGCGTACCACTTCCGCGTGTGCTCCACGTAGTTCTTTGCGTCCACCCAGAAGGTGTGGATCTGCAGCAGAGAACAATCCGTGCCCAGGCCACGGTGGGGCTGGAGCCAGCGCAGCCTTTTGCCATGGCGGGTGCCATGGACCCTGTGCCCGGCGCTGCTCACACAGGCGCCGTGGGCCCAGCACAGGACTGGATGCCTCGGAGACCGCGAGGGGCTGAGGGAGCATCAAGGTCAAGGCCAGACCCCAGCCCCGGCTGCACAACCCACCACAAGACCTGCAGCACCCTGATCCCTGCTACTGATGCTCCAGAGCCCTGGGATTTTGCTGCCTGCAACGTTCTCTGGCTCTCCTAGCACACCCGGGCCCACCGGCACCGCTCCAGGGAGCAAATCCAGTCCCCGGTGAGACCACTTTCCCTGTGTGCCCCCCCGAGATGTTTCCACAGGGAGACTCACCAGCACCGGCAGCAGTTTCTCTTCCAGCAGGGACACGAAGGCCAGCGTGTCCGCCTCTTGCGTAGCTGAGAGGTCGTAGTCAGCGTTATACTTCTGCAGAGCAAACG